AAAGAAATGACAGAAGAAAAATCACCATTTGCCAGTCATCGTAACAGTAACTGATTCAGGCAAAAATCATAAAAGGACTTTAAACTAGTGGATTAAAGTTTGAGAAGTAACAGGACATTCACATAGTCTCAGAATAGACCCCGCCACACACAAAAGTTCTTTTCAATTACAATCAAAATTTACAGTGAAGAAACCCAGCAGACACCACCTTAACCAACTGATTAAAGTCACCACTGCCAGCAATGGGGCCAGTTGATAGCACATGCCTCCTGGTGTGATGCACTGAGAAATCAGCTTTATTTCAGTGATTCCTCTGCCTAAAGATTACTTAAATCTAATTGTGAGAAAACATGGGAAAAACTCAACTGAGGGAGGCAAAATAACTGGACTGTACTATTGAAAACTGACAATGTAATGAAATACAATAAAAGACTCCAAGATAAAGAAATGAATTTCGTATGAAAGGAACTGAACTAACATATGACCCTAGATTTATTTTTTTGTTGCAGAAAGACTTTACTGGGACAAGTAAAATCTCAGTAAGGTCTGTAAATTAGATAATAGTGTTGTTTCAATGTTAAGTTCCTGATATGCATCATTGTACTGTGGTTCTATAAGAGAATTCCTTGTTTTTAGGAAATACACACTGAAATATTGAAAGGTAAAATGGAATCACATCAGGCACTTACCTCTAAATGGTTCAGAAAGAAAAAAATGGAGGGATGGGGGAGAGTAAAAGAGAAAGTGGGGGAGAGGAGGAGACAGAAAAACAAATGTAATAAAATGACATTTGGGGAATCTGTGTGAAGAGCATTCAGGTTTTTTGCAACTTTTCGATGTCTGGAATTACATTCATTTTAAAAAAAATAAGTTGGATATAAAGAGATACGCCTGTCAAAACTCACAGAATGGTACACTAAGACGTGTACATTATACCATATGAAATTTACACTTCGATTAAAATAATAAAAGCTTATTCTAGATGCTTCATCAAATGTTGATGATTGGAACACTTTAATGATTAAAAACAGAGGTTAGGAACCCACCAAGGCCCTATGAAAATGCAGGTTAAGTTCATGCCTACTGTATTTTAAGCTTGAAATGATCAACCAGCACCAGGGAGTCTGGACATCAGCTCTGTGCCCACAATGATGAGCAGCTCTCATGATTTCCAGGCTGCACAAGGCTTGCCACCTTCCTCCCAGTCCCCTCGAGGCCCTCTACACGCTCAGCCGGGTAACACAACACTCCCTCATTAATCAGCCACCAAATACATAAGCCTATTCACTATAAGCAAAGCTAGACCTTAATTTTTATTTTTAAAATTTTTATTATCTTTTTTTTGATTGAACTGTAGTCAGTTCACATTGTTGTGTTTCTGGTGTACAGCACAGTGATTCAGTTATATATATGTTCATTTTCCTGTTCTTTTTCATTATAGGCTATTACAGATATTGCATATAGTTTCCTGTGCTATACAGTAGGACCTTGTTGTTTTTCTGTTTTATCTGTAGCAGTTAGTATCTCCAAATCCCAAACTCCCATTTTATCCCTCACCACTCCCTTTCTGCCCTGGTAACCATAAATTTGTTCTCTATGTCTGTGAGTCTGTTTCTGTTTTGTAAATAAGTTCATTTGTGTCATTTTTTAAAAATTTTTATATATCATATGGCATTTTTCTTTCTCTTTCTGGCTTACTTCACTTAGTATGATCATCTCTAGGTCCATCCATGTTGCTTTAATTTTTTTTAATTAAAAAAAAAGGAGCAAAGTCATGGAAGCAATCTAAATGTCTATCGACAGATGATCGTATAAAGAAGTTGTGATGTATATATGTGTGTGCACACACACACACACACACACACACACACACACACACACACACAACGGAATACTACTCAGCCATAAAAAAGAATAAAATGATGCCATTTGCAACAACATGGATGGACCTGGAGACTGTCATATTAAGTGAAATAAGCCAGGAAGAGAAAGAAAAATACCATATGGTATCACTTATATGTGGAATCTTTAAAAAATGACACAAATGAACTTATTTACAAAATAGAAACAGATTCACAGACACAGAAAACAAGCTTATGGTTACAGGGTGGGAAGAGGTAGGTGAAGGGATAAATTGGGAGTTCAGGACTTGCAGATACAAATTACTATATATAAAATAGATAGACAACAAGATCTGATATAGCACAGGGAACTATATTTAGTATCTTTTAATAACCTATAATGGAAAAAAATCTGGAAAAAAATATGTATATAATACATATGAATATGAATTACTTTACTGTACACCTGAAACTAACACAACACTGTAGATCAACTACACTTCAATTTTAAAAAAGTGGGGAAAGGGAAGCTAAACATGATGGTGACAATGTGTCAGGAGGCCACACACATTGCTAAACAAGCCTTGGGGAGATACTGCCTGTTGCCAAGGCCCGGAGCGGAGCTAGCCTTGCACCTGGCTCAGAATACAGATTGATATCTTTCAAAGTATTTTTAAAAGATGACTATCCCTGTCATAGTCAACTATTTTTTTCAAAATACTAGTAAAACAAAATGACTGAGATGTCTCATACCTTGCTTTAGAAATACTATAAATTCCTTTACAGTTTGGTCCAAATGAACTCTGTGATATACTACAGGCTTGAAGTTGCGGTGCTCAAATGAACGAATGAGGCGAACTGTAATGGTCACTTCTTCGGAAGCCATGTGAAGAAACTCCTGTGGCAAGGGACACGAGGACAGTCTAAGTAACGTCAACTCATAATTATCTCCAAGCCTGCACTTCCACCATCAGCTCCCTGGCACCCAGCCCATCTCTCCCGCGCTGCGCAGTTACTGACAGAATCCCCGGACCCAAGCCAGATCCGGGGCAACCACAAGGGGCCCAAGGTCCCTCCCAGCTACCCACAGCGATCCCGGATGGCTTTATCACAGCCATGGATGTTCTGACTGGCAGAAAACTGACAGGGCACCGAAGAACAACATGACAACACAGAGGTGTAGGTGTGCGTGTATGAGGAGAAGTGGGGTTGGTTTTTACTAAACAGACACGTGGAAAATCCGTGATTGCTCTGGTCTGCTGCACCAGCGACCTCCTCGTCTGGCCCTGGGATCAGGTACACTTACATTAGCATCAATCATCAGGTCCCATTTTAATCTCACAAATGCTGCCAGGTTTCAGGGTTGATTTAATCATATGCCATGGTACTATCCAACTTCTACACTATCGCCGCTTAATTTCAATGTTTATTTCATCCTAAAACTATGTACTAGCCCTATCTGCCAGATACGAATGTTATCAGATTTCATTTTATCACCAAGCCATGAGGTATTCTTAAGGATGAGGAAAGACTCAGAGATTGCACTAATTGCCCAGGGTTATATAGCTGATAAACGATGGGGCCAGGATTCAAGCACCAATTTAATTCCAAATTCCATACGTACTCTATTATTGGAAAAATCACCCCAAATTATCTCTCTCCCCAAAATCTTCAAGGTTGACAATGTTTTAAAAATACAGTTATGGTATATTTCTATCGAGTAGCAACTGCTTTCAACTTGCATACAACTTTCAGCCGTAAATGTCTCACACTTTTTCCAAGTACTAGAAAAAAAATCTGTAACACTAATAAACATGAGAAAAGATGTCCAACCTTCCAGTAATCAGAGAAATTCAAAATAACTTTTGAATTTTCAAAATAATTTTGAATACATTCAAAATTCAAAATAAGTGAGATATATTACTCATCAAATTGACAAACAAAAAAGTCTGGCAATACCTAGTGTTGGCAAGGGTGTAAAACAATGAGAATTTAATCAGTTAAGGTGGGCATCCAAACGGGTTCTATTTTTGGAGGCAATGTGGCAAAATTTAGTAAAAGTGGCAAAATTTAGTAAAACTGAAGAGTCACACACCTTTCAATGCAGCAATTTCATTCATAGGGAGGTACTCTAGGGAATTGGTCACATTTGTGCCCAAGGAGAACTGCAAAAGAATGTTAACAGTAACATTGCTTGTTAATTGCAAAAAACTGGATACAACAAAATGTCCATCAACAAGAGAATAATCATGGCATTCTCATACAACGAAATAGTTCAAGCAGTAAAAATGAATGGACTTGAACTATGCACATCAACATAGAAGAATCTCAGAAACACTGTGGTGAATGGAAAGCAGGCAAGCTGCAAAAGCATTGGAGGACACTATCATTTATACAGAGTTCAAAAACACAGCCTTTGTTACATTTAAAGGAGGCAAAGAAAAGATTATGCAGTTAGGGAGAAGTCACACAGGCACTTCAACTATACTGGTTGCATTTTGTATCTTAAGTAGGATGGTAGGTACAGGGATAGTATACAGTTACTATTCTTTGTGCTTTTTACTGTCTCTGGTATATCTCATAATATACACAAATAAGCCACACTAGTTTGTTCTAGAAAGTCTCTCTAAATCGTAGAATGCTTACACAAATATTTTACTATGTTTGACAAAATATATAGCATATTATATATGAAAAGCAAAGGTTCAAGCTACTTTAATGCATAAAATTATTTGTAGTTACAATTAGCATACTGTTTATAATTAAGTGGTTCTTCAGGAATGTAAAATAACATCTTCCCTCTAAAATAAGCAAGGATTCATCTTATAATCTTGTTTTGTGGCTAATGAGCTTAAATTAAATCTTTTGATAATTCCAATATTAGCTACCACCCTATTTGTTATTAAATCCAGTTTCACAGAGCTCCCCCAAAATTCTACCTAGATCTTAGAATCTACCAAATAAGGACAGTTAAGCAGACATCTACAAAATTACGATTTAAAATATACTGGAGTACTTAAATACAGACTCTCTTTTGAGAAAGGGATATATAAAAGATCCACATTTTAGAGGCAGTGTTCACAGGTTTGTGAAAATTATGACCAACTTCTTCCTCCTCTCACCTAGCCGTCCAAAAAGCAAAGAAGTCCTCCAAACCACACCACACACATATCCCCACAGATGCTGGTAAGCCTGCTAATGGAGCCCAAGTTCCCAAAGAGTTCGGAGCTGGACAGATCTAACTTAATTATGGACCCTACCTCTTGGCCCCAACACACATTGTTGAATCTCAATAAACAGCAGCTGCTTTTTTTTCTTTCTTTTTAAAAATTCTTGGGGGGGGGCTGGGTTTACTTATTTGTTTATTTACTTAATGGAGGTACTGGGGATTGAACCCAGGACCTCGTGCATGCTAAGCATGTGCTCTACCACTGAGCTATACCCTCCCCCCAAACAGTAGCTGTTTTTATCAATAATCTACTTGGGATGAAATAAGTTTGGGCATAAAGATAGCTCATGTACACATCAGATAAAGAGACTAGACTCCCAGCTGCAAAGAAGTAAATGATATAAACAGTCCAACGAAGGAGGACAGGCAGGTTGGCACAGGCATGCCTTATGAAACTTTTATAACTGTAGGTTGGTTTTTCCACTTAATAAAACGTTGCCCATATGTTATACTTAAATAGTTAAAGTTTTCCATTTAAAATTCCAATTCTGTGTTAATATCTAATTTTGGTCAACAATGCGTTGTCATCTTCATCAGAAATTTATTACAATTTATACTTAGTAACTAAACAATAATAGCTACCATCAGAATGAAACCATTGTCTAATTTGCCTCAAGGACTGTGAGAAATACAGCTTTTTCAGAGAGGCAGACCTGCTGAAGAGACAGCTTAGAAAGCCAATGTAACAGATTATAAATGTGACATTTTCCCAGAAGGAATGACCTACTTAAAAAATGAATCTGATCAAGTTTAAAAGGCATTCCTCAAATGAAGGGACAGAGAAATCAAAAGCAATAAATTTAGGGGTAAATTAATTTTTTAAAATTCAAAGATATGAAAAAAGATTTGCATAAATGAAATGATAGACTATGTTCGTAACTATGAAGGCTCAAAGTTGTAAAGAAATCAATTCTTTCTAAAGTAATCTTTAAATTGATTAAAATTCCAATCAAAATCAAAAAGGGTGGTCTGGATTTGCCACAAATATTTCTATAATCTACCTGGAAGAATATACTTGTGAGCTCAGCAAAGCCATAAAAGGAGCAAAAAGAGACCAGTGGCACCAATTATTAAAACATATTACAAAACAACAAACATACAGTAGTAATACATGAATAAGCTGGTATGATTTTCATATATTTACAAAATCCAAATACAAAAATGTTAAAGGGCAATCAAGCTATAGTCATTTAAGCTGTGACACTGAAGATGGTAAAATCAGTAGAAAACAACAGAAAACTCAAGAAATTGACTCAAGATTTGAGAATTTAGTATAAATATAGCCTTTCACATTTGGGAAGAAAAGTTTATTTAATCAATGGCACTGAGAAAACTGGTCAGACATTTGGAAAAAGATGATGTTGGATAATAAACAAAATAAACCGTATGTGGAAGAAATATTTAAACCTAACTGTAAAATCATAAGGAGGCACTGAAAAAATGGGTACAAATTTTTATTATCTTAAGGTAGGAAAGACTTTTCTGAGCAAATAAAAATCAGCAACAATCAAGGAAAAGGTTGACAGGTACGACAACCAAAAAACTGTAAGAAAAGACCAAAATCCTAACAGAAACATGGGTAGAGGCAATTGGCTAAATTTTTAAGAAGCCAATAACATGAAAAGATGATCAACTTTATCAGTAACCAAAGAACTGAAAATAAAAACAGTAAAATATCAACTTGCCATCAGATTGGTAAGATTTCTAAAGATTAAAAACTGGCCACACCAGTATTAGCAGGGATCTAGAAAATAAAGATGTTTATATACTACTGCTAAGAACATAAAATGATACACCCTTTCTGGAGAGAAGTAGGGTAATCTATATCAAAATTTTAAGTTTGCCTACCCTTCGATATGGCAATTTCTCTTATACAAATTCACCTGGAGAAGATCACATCAAATATGTTTAAAATCCATGAGTTTATAATGATACTTTTTAAAAAGCCAATTACTCACTCTGGAAACTAACAGGGCACTTGTTTTCCTGAAAACTGGCTTACCAAGGTGACGGGGAGGGTGCACTGAAATGAGAAAAATAATCAAATTCTCATACAGACTATATTTCAAGGTTACCAAATAGCTGATGAAGAAAGTTCTTCTTTCTAGTAGAATTACAGCAAAAAAAAAAAACCACTCAATAATAGAATTTAAAGATCATGATTAATATACCTATCAGGATGGCAAAAACAGTGATAACACCAAATGTTGGTGGAGTTGACAGAGAAATGAGATCTCTCATTCACTGCTGGTGGGGATGCAAAATGGTACCGCCCCTCTGGAAAAGTAGATGGCAGTTTCTTACAAAACTAAACATGTGCTTATGAAACGACCCAGCAAATGCACTCCAGCAAAATGAAACTTATGTTCACACAAAAACCTATATATGAATGCTCACAGCATATTTATGGGTAATACCCCAAAACTGGAAACAACCCAAATGTCCTTCAACACATGAATGGTTAAACCAACTGTGGTATAGCTGTATCATGACACACTGAGTATTAAAACCGAATAAACTATTGATACACATAACAATTTTGATGGATCTTAAGTGAATTCCGCTGAAAGAAAGAAGCCAGTCTCAGAAGGTTGCATGCTGTGTAGTTCCACTTGTATGTCATTCTTGCAACAACAAACTTGTAGAAACAGAACAGATTCATGTTGCTGAGGTTAGTGGGGAGGGAAGGAGATGGCAGTGGCTATAGAAGATAGCCTGAGAGATCCCTGTGATGGGAATTTTCTGATTCTTGATTGTGGTGTTATCCTCGTTTATCTAAACATGTGATAAAATTGCCTAAAACTAAATACACGTGCATACATATACACAGAAGATGTAAAACTAGTGAAATCTAAATACATTCCCAGGATTGTCAGCATCGATCCCCTGGATGTGAAATTAGACCACACTCAAGCAAGATGGTACCCTTGGGAGAACCGGGTGAAGGGCAAAGGATTGCTCTGTATTATTTTTTACAAATGCATGTGAATCCACAATTATCTCAAAATAAAAAGCTGCTAAAACCCATCATTTTGAAAAACTTAATGAAAGAATGAATGTAAGCAGTGATTACAAAGGGGTGCCAAAACCAAAAATGAGGTAAAAGACTGATGGGAAACTTTAGAATGGATACTTCAGGAGCTGACAACACTGGAACTTAATAATCAAACGTAACAAATGAATCAAGCCTCTAGACCTATTTCCCACTTTGTGGGCTATGACAGTGTCTGGAAGAAGGTGTTAAAAGACACCGTAAAGAGGCCATCAGCCAAGTTCAGACTGTAGAAAATTCTACTGAATAAATGACTTGGTTTCTTCAACAAATAATTAGCATGAAACATACAGAAGGGGAGGAAGGTTATAAACTAAGAGAGATTTAAAGGGATCTATCAACCAATGTTTATACCTTACATGGATCCTAATTTGCACATTAGATGATGTTAGGAATTAATATTAGTTCTCTCTACCTAATATTATTATGTTTTTTAGTCTTTACCTTAAAAGACTGAGGTAGATAGGTGAAATATGATGCTTTCAAATACCCTGACAGAGTAAAAACAATTCTGGGCATTTAGAATAAAAAAAAAAAAAAGGTAGAACATTGGTAACTGCTGAAGCTGAGTGTATGTGGGACCTGATCACACTATTCAACATTTTATGTGCTTGAAATTTTTCATAATAAAAACATTTTAAGAGAAGATAAGCACACAAAGATGTACATTCAAGGAAGTTTTTTTTTTTTCCATTGAAGTGCTTGTAACAGTTAACGAAAATCAGAGTTCATCTAAATGCTCATTGAAGAAGACCTGGTAAAGCAAATTATGTCACACCATAAAATAAAATCCCCTGCAGCCATTAAAGGGTGAAATGGATCCATGGATACCAACTTTAAAAAGTGCCTATGACAGATCAGTAAATGAAGAAACAAGTTAGAAA